GCCACTATCCGTGATCCGTGTGGTGCTTGTATTCCATCATTCAAGGCCCTCAGCCTGGAGTCACACTTTCTTGGATATTTCCACTCGAGTGCACACGCGCGCGGAGGTGGCTCGATCTGTTATCGACGAAGCCATCCAGGCATTGCTGAGTGGTTTGGGGCGCAGAGTGTGGCAGCTTAGGGTGGCAGCGGGGCTTCCAAGCGAAAAGGTAGGGGCCAGACGAGTGCGAGACTCGTACTTTCCGAAGCACTTCCCATGGCCTATCACGCCGTCTATCGCAGCCTCACGGAGCTCTGCAGTCTCTGCGAGGACCCGGTAGCCAAAGAGATCCTCGACGACCTGGCACCCCGGCCGATGTCTTTCTGGTCTACAGTACCACAATAGATGCTGGCAGCATAGCCACAGTGCAGGCGCCGAGATGACTTGTTGCCAATTGAAATGTAGTAGCAGCTTCAAGAAGCCTAAGACCGATTCTTCCCAAGCTTGAAACCATGAAACAGTAAGGCACTAGGTGCTTGCGACCCTTTGCCTGCCAGCTTGTTCTGTCCGCTGACTTCGGACTGGCATGGTCGTGAGGATCACTCTGCACATCGAATCGTAATGACATCATATATGCTTCTGTGTTAACGCCCTTGAACCCTGCAGAAAAGCCGTGTTGAATCCTACGATTTTGATGCTTCAGCCTCCTTTGGAAAGTTCGATTCTGAATCATCCCGAGAAGCCAAGACTGCACATCTCGAGCAGTGCATACTAACGCTGTAAAGTTCCAGCATCATCCCGTCAATACATATCCCCATCTCAGGACATCAGCCCACAAGATCGCACTCGACTTTCTGACATTTTTGATCCGGCCATGTCCTCAGCTGCACCCAGGCTTCGCGGCGTCTTACTGCTGCGGCAATGTCTACCGCTCGGGCTATGCCACTCTACTGCTGCTTCTACTGCCACTAGTACTGCTACTGCTTTGGCTAACTATCACGGCCCTGCTGTCGCCGACCACAACAGTCTGTTGCCGTCTCCGTCTCAATAAAGACATTTATTGGCAACATCAGCTATACATAGATGCATTCACGCGGAAGTACACGCGGCGGTCCATCCGTTCCGCAAGCTAAAGCATAGACCCATGTAAACAGGTCTTCCTCACACACATGGATGTGTCAACAAACGAACAAACTGACACGCAGATGCAAGCAAGATTGGGTAGACAGAAAGGTAAGTAAATCAGAATGTAAGTACAGAGAGAAGCTTGTCTGTGCGTGTATGTCTGTACGTATGCATGCATGCATGCGTGCATGTATGAATGTATGTCCATAGGTAGGCAGGCAGGTAGGTACGAAGGTAGGTAGATAGATCAGTGCAGTTATGTATGCATTAGTGTGTGGATGAGCACATGTTTGCATGCATGCGTTTTGTCAACACCCCCGCAGCAAGAACTTGGGCTACAGATACATGGTTGGATGTGAAAGTAGCGTCGCCTGCAGAGCGTGAACGTGAGCATGTCGTGAAAAGCAGTCCTTGCTCGCCGTTTAATGCAGGCTTTTCTCTCGAGCGAGTGTAGCAGGCCCCTCTAGGACTCTCGGGTGCGAGGGAGTTTGCTGCTAGAACCCCCAGTGTCGGCTGGGGAGGGTGAATCATGTCTCGTTCCCGTAAGAAGGGCGAAGGGCCTCCACCTATTCCGCTACTTCACCAGGGAGCACGTCTGACTGATCGGGAGTTCGGCGATGCTTATGCCTCGCTGGCGAATTCATCATCTTTGAGGCCCTAGACAATGAGATGCAGCCTTTGGGTTACGCCATAGGCCAAATTACCAACATGTACCCGTTTGACGACAACGGAGCTCACATCACTCTTGATTACATTGGAGTCGAAAACGAGTTCTATAGGTGGTATGTTGAAAACATTGATGCCCCTGGTGGTTTGCCTAGCTCCTACACGCATCACCTCTGTAGGAAAGGTGTGACCTCCTGTGCTCGTAAGGAGGGACGAAGAATGATACATGTCCAGGAATGGGCCCCTATCGAAAAGGAAGATGCTCATGTGCTGCTTCGCTCCTGGGGTTACGGAGGCTTTGTTGGTCTTGACAAGGGGGGCGGTGGTAAGCGTAAGCCTCGGGGGGATCAGCGCGAACCCGCTACCTCAGCAAAGAAAAAGGCTAAAAAGCCGTTGATTGAAGAGGATGGCGAGGTGGATGAGTTATCTGAGGAGGCGGAGGTCGTTGATGTCCGCCCTCCTCTTACTCGAGGTGCCCGGAGTGGGGCTGAGCCGGAAGGAAGTGTGGGACGGGCCCTACAGGCTTCCAACATTCTCGACGGTTTGCTAGCTGAGGGAACACAGAAGAATCCGGATGTCGCGAGCAACCCTAAGCCCAGGACCACCTCAAATAAAGGCCCTTTGGAGGAGAAGCTTGGTGATCTTCGTGAGAAGCTCAAGGCAAGGACAGATCAGAGGAAGGGAACGGCAGCAGCCGCTCTCGCTGATAAGGCTCAGGCTGCAGCTTCAGGTCCTCGCCGTAAGCGTCGCAGGAGTGGGGCTGAGGACGTGGTCAAGGGGCTCCAGAAGGTGTTGGGGCGAAAGTCGCGGTCTAAGGCTTCTGTCGAGATTGACGAATCAGACAGCGAGGACTTCGAGGATGACGAGCCGGACATCGATGATGGTACCTCGGTGCTCTCAGCGAAGCGGAGGCAGCTGAAGCAGTTAGCCCAGGACCGTCCCGGTGTGTTGCTCACGAAGGGTCTCCAAAATATGAGGGAGCAGGTTGGGTCGCTGTATGGTGAGGATGGTGAAGCCGAAGATGGGTTCTCTCCCATCGTAAATCGGTACCTCTTGTCAGTGATTCACCCAAACTATCCCCCCAAAGCCCAGTCCGAAGAGATGGTGCGTGAGATGCGCACGTTGGCCCTTGGTTTGGACCTCATCCTGCGCGGCAGGATTGACTCAGCAGCAGACCTCATGATGCAGCGGTTCAAAAGCTGCTGTATGCACCTGCGTGATGGGCAAGGTCATTTCGGGCACTTCTTGGAGTTGCTTCCCGATGATCTTCTGGGCGGTGGCGCTTCTTTGGGGGAAACGGAGTTCGCACGCAGCATGGCGGTCCGGACCGCAAAGGCAAATGCTCTCCTCTCTAAGGTCGCCGCCCCCTAGGGACTCCGGGGGGCTCAGGGCATGGCAAGGCTCTGGCCCCGCCCGATTCGACAACGAAAGTTGCCAAATCTCCAACGGAGGAGGCGAGGGGGAAGTCACCGCGGAGCCCAAGTCGCAGTCCTCTTCGTCCGGCGGCCATACGGCCGGGGGCCGGCGGGTGTCGTTCGCAGATCAAGAGTCTGCGAAGGGGGGCCGGTGAAGGGGCCGGTGGCAGACGAGGTGTCGTGACCAGAAACTGATGCCTGCATGACACAAGCGACGTGACCGGCATCACGTGTGACTGAGGAAAAGAACTGTCACACGACCACCTCCTTCCCCCAGAGCCTCACCCCTGCCGGAACTGAATCCACTGGGTGGGAGGGTGGGAGAGAAAAGCCTGCATTAAACGGCGAGCAAGGACTGCTTTTCACAACATGCTCACGTTCACGCTCTGCAGGCGACGCTACTTTCACATCCAACCATGTAGTGGCATAACGCAGTTTTCCTGCGCACGCCAGGGTTGGTTTGCAGATGGCTCGCCCATCTTTGAGTGAAACCGTCAAACATGCTTCGATGAAGTTTTTCATCACAGCTTCAACGGACGAGGTGTCGTGACCAGAAACTGATGCCTGCATGACACAAGCGACGTGACCGGCATCACGTGTGACTGAGGAAAAGAACTGTCACACGACCACCTCCTTCATGTTTCCTTCCTGGCTTAAGCCGTTTTCAAGAGTGTAGCAGCAGAGTTTGCCAAATCAATCTGATCATCACTTAAGCGCAAATGCGTGATCATAGCCGCAGCATCTTGCAAATAGATCCTTGCAGAGGAGGTTGAACTCCATCGACCTCGGAGGAGAGTCCTCTCCATGCTTTGATGGGACAAAAAGTCCCACGTAGCTCCGCCTCTCCGAAGGGAGTAAACGTTAATATGGTATGATTCCAAAGAGAAGGCACATAAAAACAGCTTGAAGCATTTTCTGAAATGGTCCGCGCCCTTTCTGAGAAGCATTTCCTCAGCAGAACGACCGCAACACGCTCGGCGCAGCCACTTTACTGCAACAAGGCTGTTAACAACCACCATCTCTTCTTTGCCTGTGCGTTTTCCACCTTTAGTCAATCCCAAACGCAGCACAGCACGATCACGATAAAACGCCACATCCCCTACTGCAAGATGATAAAGCTCACCGCTTCTAAGCATGCCGTCAAAGCAAATGAGGAGTCCAGCAGCAACGTCTGCCAGTTTCAGACCTGCCGCGAGCCCTGCCATGCCCAGTAGAACAAGCGGGCTGAGAGGCCAAACCCTAACAGGTGGTTCTACACGCTGCCATACTTTTAAGAGCTTCCAGCTTTGTCGGAGCTTCCCTACACATTGGGGGATGAAATGCTGGATTCCTGCAAGACCATCACTTGCAAGACCCTTCCTTTGACCATCGGCATATAAGAATTCAATCCATGTGCTAGCCATTTCATCGAATTGCGTCATTCGGCAAAGCACTAGCTCGGAATCAGCCAGGAAAGTCAGGAAAGCCAGCACTGCAGTTGAATACCTTCTCAGCATTCCTTTCGAAACTAGTTGCTCCTTCAGCGTGAGGTTGGGCCGCTTAGGCACTCCGACTGCTCGGACCATCGACTGGGGATGTCGGCAGGATTGTTGCCTGTGTCTACATATGCAACCGTCAAGAAAAGTCCTGAGGCGAGGCAAATGGCATTCAATGAGCGCAGCGAGCGCTGCAACTTGCTGCTGCTGGTGCGCCCTTTTGCAATGATTGCACATACAACTTGTGAATCGATTAACACAAGAGCACGATGACAGCAATTACTGGCCCGCCGTACGCGCCATTTTACTGAGTTCGACACAGCTTGTAGCTCTAGCGCATTTATGTGGGCTTCATGCCTCCAAGAATAACCATGTACAATCGCCCATTGAAAAAGATGGCTTTGAATACCACTGCGAGGCCAGGCCTTAGCACGAAAGGGCACTCCAATGTCAAGACGAACATCCGTTCCCCCTTTCTCGGCTATCCTCAGGAAGTGGGTGACCAAGCCACTAACCTCTGCATCCGGTTGCGACTGCTTCACGAATGCAGGAAGCTTTGTCCACGAAGGCGGTGCGACACCTCGCGCAAAGAAATTCTCATGCATTCGTCTGCGCTTCCCGCCACGGGTAAACAACAGTTCATCCAGGAGGACCATTAAGGAAAACACACAAAAAGCACATCCGATCATCTGACTGCCTCTGATTTCGCGACTTACACCTTTGAACTTGGGATGGATACCTTCACTGACGTAGTTATCGTCAAATCCCATCAACTTTTCGCGCTCAGCTAAGGTGAGCGTGCGCAGCAGTCCGCCATTCATAGTGATCATGTGTTCAGCTTCATAGTTGCTCACAGGCAGCTTGTATGAGTCCTCCGCCCACCGTGCCTGTGCTTCGTCTGATGCACTCTCCACTCCTGCGGGAAAGCTTGGAGGCCGACTGCGAGGGGTTGGAGAGCTACACGCTGGGAGCAACGTATTCTCTGGAGCTTTCCAACAGCCGCCGGGATCTACCCAGGATTGCTTATCTTCTCGAGAGGCCTCAAACACCCAGTCGAAATAAGCTCCCCGATCAATCAGATGTTCTGTTTCAGCAGCAGCCACTGCCCATGTTACCCAGAACAACCTGGGCCTCTGCATCCACGAAAAGTATTTGGCATCCACCAAATATGGTTTTAGCTCCAACGTGCGACTGATGATACCTAGACCTAGACTCTCGGGGGTCAGAGGAAACAAACTTTCAACGAGCATCTCAACCGGCACTTGGAAACTAGCCTTGAGGAGATCACGTATTCTGGGAATCTGAAAGAACAAACTGGCACCAGCCTCAGGTGAACCAGAGGTTGTTGTACTGAGTTCGTGGCCCGGGCATCCCGCTGCCAGGAGAATAAAGTCCACCCGGTACCCGATGGATCCCGCCAGTTGTTCAATGACCTTGGCAGTGATGGTTTCGACACTCCCCAACTCGACAATTCCAGGCCATCTCGTTCTCGTTAGCCGTAAACAATCTTTGTCGATTTCAGATGAAGCGTATCCACGGACAGTACAGGGAAGCCTCCCCCAGGCACACATCAATGAGCCAACCCCGTCAAAAAGGGACACCACCAAAATACGTGGCCCTGTCACCACATTTTTTGGCATACTCCCTTGAGGTTTGAAGCACTGCGCCTCATCAACACCGGAGTCCAACCTTTCTAAAAAGCGTGAGCCTGTGGGCGTGAGGCCTGATGACGCACGCATCCCCCCACCGCGTTCAGAAGCATCCGAACACGTCACTAGCCCAGAGATCGGGGTTCGCAGCAGCGTGCATGCCAGGGGCAGCAGCGACGCAGCCTTAATGAGCTCCTCAACTTGCTTTGCCCCAAGCTTACGTGGCCTACACCACATGGATTTAGGCCATACCGAGTTTAGCAGCCCCATCAATGGACGCCGAAACTCAAAACAACGCGTGAAGCGGCCTAACACCACCATCAACATCCTCGGCGACACCACCGGCCTCGAGAGAATCCAGATGGCCAACCATCCCACCTCCAGCATCTTGTCACATGGAGCAGACAAAATCCCCTCAATGCCATCAATTTCCGCGCCCATCCTAGTCACGCATGGCTCGCGCACATGTTCCTTTTTCTTAGAGATACCCACACCTACCCGATCATAGGCGGCTCTCTGTCTCGCGTGCACGGGGGAAAGAGTCCCCGCCATGATCTTCCATGAATGTTTCGGTACCTTTTCAGGGCAATCGAAGTCATCAAGATAATACTGGTACCAGGTCCCTCCTTCCTCCAGGGCGCCCCTGGGGACTGGACGATCCCTCCGCCATTCGTCGGCGGGATCCAAGCCCGCTCCAACTGGAAACTCCGCCAAGCCGATACGACGATGCAAGTGCTGGAACAGACTCACTGCATTCACCCAGCCCATGGGGATCACCGCAGCTGCCACATGTATGCTGTCTATGTCCGGGCGCCCGACCACCTCACCGGGAACGGGCAACTTGAATGCCATAAGGCCCCGCCAAGCCTTAGGTAGACGCCAAGCATAAAAAGCCCCCTTTTGATCATCACCATTCCATAATAGGACCTCCCCAAACCGAAGATAGATACTACCCCATTGAGAAGACCCCGACAGAGTTGGCAAATCGGCCGTCATCAACCGTTGTATTGAGTTTGCCGGAACCAAATTCATGATTAGCCGGGTTACGCGAGCCTGACCGTCAGCAGGCGTCCCGCTCTTTTCCACAGCAAAGGCCCCATTTAGAACAGGCTCGCCCCGTACGCGGAACACCTCCTCCAAACTTATACCTTCCACTATTCCCTTGTCATAAAGCACTTTGACAATGCGAATCCACTCGTGTTGACAAACTCGCATGGACGCCGACGGGAGAGGATCAGGCCATGCAGAAGGATCAAGCAAAGTGAGAGAGGGGTCTGCAACCGAACGTTTAACATCCGCTGCAGCCACCGACAAAACGTCCAAGGACCCGGCGACTCCATCATCAGGCAAGCCTGGTTCCAGCTCCTCCAAACGAAGGGGTAACGCTTTCAAGACCTCCTCACCGCTGTAATCCACTTGCCGAGCTCGGGCAAGCTCATGAAAGTTGGTGGAAGGCCGATCCTTCATAGCGTCGCGAGACCACCACTCGCTCTGCCTGCGAAGGAAGTCGAGAGCAACTCTCTGACTCTTCATCGGCACTTGGTCACTAGCCGGCGCTAGCCTCGTCCATCCAGTAGCTTCTCCGTTCAGGATCAGCACATTCAACAGACGCCAAGCCTGGCAACATGCGGCTCCGCAGAGTTTTCGGAGCTGTTGGCGTCCCACCTCATTCCGAACCGAGGGCCTCCAGATGATCAGTCCTGAAGCTGGGCACTTAAGCATCCGTGAGAGCTTAAGGGTAGCACCGAAGGCAGGCAACGGCAATGGCAACAAGTCACGCTGCCTACCTGCTGAGTTGCCCTCCTGTGACCCTTTGTGCGCTGGCGTGCAACGTTCGAGAATCATTGAAACATCCTTCCACAGGTGATGCTGCCCCACAGATGCCACCAACAACTGAAGCAACGATAATCCAAGCTGCAGGCTATTCTGCATGCCCACATGCTCCATAATCATACTTGCGATCATCTCGGTAGGCATCCCTGGTTTGATGAACATGGTTTCAAAAAGAGCGCGAAGCTCTACTGGCTCTGGCTCCGAAGATGTTGGAAAATTCTGTCCTTCCACTGTGTCCGGCTCTCTCCCTCTCGTCGCGGAACCGCCATCCGCGCCTTGTGATGAAAAACTTCATCGAAGCATGTTTGACGGTTTCACTCAAAGATGGGCGAGCCATCTGCAAACCAACCCTGGCGTGCACAGGAAAACTGCGTTATGCCACTACATGTATACACGTATACACATACACATGTAGTTCATGTGCTCCATGCACGATGCATGGTAGACTCCATACGAGTGCTTTCTCAAGCTCTCGGAGACCGTCTTCCGGTTCCAAAGGGCTCGCGGTCAGTGCGTTTCCAAGCGGTCCCCCTTGCCATTAACAGCCGGCAAGCTGCGGCTCTGCGAGGACAATGGTGGGACCATATCCTTGGCGGATGTCGCTGCAGGCAGAGTCTTCTGTTACCGGCGATTGCAGCGATCAAAAGATAGCCGTGAGGATTCAGTCGGAGTTCTGCCTATGGGAGTTGTCGGGCCTGCCGGGTCGTGGTTTGGTTTGGCTGTTGATCGCAAGCTCCAGACACCCCGGCTGAATGTTGAAGTCGTGTGGCACACTGTGAACATTCTCAGCGCCCCCACACGTTGCATGGGCACGAGGCAAAACAGGTGTAAACTTTCCTGAGAAGACGCATGTAAAGTACTCGCCACAACCGTGAAATCACAAAGAAGTCTTGCTAATGATCTTAGCAGTGACATCACAAGTCTAACCGTTAGCCGTCATGAGTAGTCGGCCGTCATGAGTAGTCGCAGGCTGGTTATGTTCCTGTGGATGTTCGCGCTCATGACAGCATCCGTGAGAAACAGAGGCATTCGGCGGCTACGTGGTGAGCCTCGACGCCGGGGTCCTCAGCCGTTAGGGCTGGTGTGTAAGATGGGTTTATGTTGTATCACAGTTTTCTCTGGCTTTTCCGGTTTTGAACTGAGAGTCCATGTATTTAGTCTGATGGTAGCAGAAACAGCAGAAGAACTGTCATTTTTGCTACCCTCCAGCATTCTTCCTACTGGTCTGGTTATGACAGTGATCTTCCGGTTTTCAGATTCTGCGGATTTAAATGCGTTAATCTGATAGTTATATTCGTCGTCCCCAATCAGAGTCATGATAAAGCTCCTTGCCAACTCCAGCGGCACGAAGTGCGTTTTAATTATTTCACCACCCAAAGCACGCCTGAGCAACACTGAAGCTGAATAACACCTATGTGCTGTCAATCTTTCCAAAGTTGAGCCTCGATAAAAAGGATAAGCATCGGGTTTGGACTTTCGGTTTCAAGGTTTCGAGTTGAGGAAGGATCCGGATGATAAGTTCAGACATTTCTATGAAGATGCTACACGGCTGATCATCTTTCAATTTCTGGTTGGGTTGTCTGGAGAGACCGATGCTGTTTGTGGTAGCCGAGGAAGCGATATTGTCTGCGTGGATCTTATGATTCGCTCGATGCAGGTGCCCGCTTGAAGTACCACCGGTTTGGGGCTGGGGAAAACCCTAAACCTTCAGGGTCTCGTGTGCATGGTTTCAGAGTCTGCAGTCTAATGTCATTCAACTTGTGAAGTTTTTCAGTAGGGTGATGGCGGCTCATAGAGTTTAAAAGGGGTGGAGTGTTGTGTTATCGGGTTTTGCTCGATGTTGCCTATTGAGTGGGTTCATCTATGCCTATGCAGCATTTAAGATTGGTGCATTGTGTAGGGTAACCTGAGATCCCGCCCTTTTCTCGGCCGCCAGGTTCTAGATTAACGCTGGGTGGGCTTAGTGCGAGGATAGTTACCGACGCTGTGAGAGGGAAAGCTATCGCAAGGGGCTCTGTTGATCCACGTGGACTCAGAGCTATAATATAGGTGCCATGGAAAGAGCGGATGAAGAGTATGGGGTTGATTGCAACAAACATGGGAGAAAGCCTTACTCGTAGTAAAAAGACTACGGGTTATAATGGTGATAGCACTAAAGGCTTTAATAGCAGCAACAGCAAAAAAGTCGGGTAAAGCTGGTTGGGTTGTTGACATGGATGGTTATATTCGTTGTCCCAAACATGAGTCCAAGACAGCAAGGGTGCTGATGACGATGGCACTATCATGAGAATGACATGAAGCGCGCGCCGCTTGCAGTATTGCTGAGTGTATGTTGCCTGGTGATGTTGTGAATGTCAGTAACAAGCGCCTCACCTCGTATGAGTTGCTGTCAACATGTCGTGGTGAGGAAAAAGAGTGGTTCTGCATCCCGTGGTGCCTTTCGATTTTAAAAGCCCGACGTTCCATCTGGCAGGTGCAGATGTCGGATGTGCTGGCACAGGTCGAGGCAAGAGACATCTTGGGCTCCGGGAATCTCGGGAGTCGGCACGGAAGGAGAATCGAGACTTCAACAGCTGCAATATCCTGCTAAATTTTCGATTGACATGTTCAGGGTCTCACCCCGCCCTCCTTCCCCTGCCCCTCCCGTCCTTGCCTCGACCAGCACCTCCATTGCCAACTCTCCAACACCCACAGCTGAACATGATTGTACGACGAGTGTGGAAAGAACCTCGTTCAGCAGCAGCAGCGGCAACACGACAGTCTTCACTTCACGGTCGCCTTTGACACCAGGACCTTAGTATCATCACCATAATCAGCATCATCACCAGGGCCGGCATCATCTCTACCCTCATGCTTGCAGGGCGACCCACCAGTGTCATCAGGTGCTCATGAAGCGGCGCTGATGCTTTCCACAAGGTGCCCCGGGCCACGGTTCGTCAACCGAGGGCTCCTTCTGTTTGGGACGTGGGTTGGGCCGGGGACACTCTAGGGCTGGGGTCAGGGTGATCAGTCTTTGTCCCACGGTTTAATTCCAGAGGTACTTCCAGCGCACCACATGCGTTGTTTGCTGGCGTGTGAGATTGAGTGAGTGAGACAGAGAGTGCGATAGCAGGAGCAGCTCCGACACTGACACGGCCGGCTGTTCGTCTTCCAACAATGGTCTCCTGAGAAGGTTGACTCCAGCAGCGTCTCTTGCATCTATGGACAGCTTGGAGCATCTCCAACACAGAGCAGGAGAAGGCTTTGAAGGAGGTGCTCCGTGTTGGCACGGTTCGGCTAGGCCCAACAAGCTGTAAAGAGTTGCGCCGACTGTTTTAGTTGCTCGACCATGCAGAGACCCTGCTACAAGGATTTTCGCAGAAATAGTTGGTCTCACGTTAGGCACAAAGTGGCTTCCGTTTTTCTTTTCCATTCAGGCGATGTTCGCCAGAGCGTGGGGCTACGCTTCTCCAACTGCTGCTCCAGGGACTACCTTCTGGAGCCAGCATGTGCAGCTCCGAACGCGTCTTGATAATGACTACGAGGGCATCCGTAGCTGATGCTGTCGAAAGGTGCGAGGGCTATGAGGTAGCTTGTCGGATGGCTCGTAATTATGATGATGTTGATCGAGCAGCCTTCTCGCCGTGAGCATCTCGTTTGGCACCACCATCCTAAAACCTGAGACTCACTTTCGTCACGATCCAACCCGAAACAGACCGTAGCAAGCGCGAAGCCTGACCGGAGCCCGATAAAGAAAACATAAAGAAGCTGGGAGCCCCCAACTTACGACGATGGCGAGATGCGTGGTGCTGATGATGACGATGACCATGCCCACGGCGGCCATGAACAACTCCTCCTGGATATGCTGCATGACTTTCATGCTCGCTTCCGAGGGAGGTCAAGCATGGAGCCCTACAATCTCAGTCGACCTCTGGGGTGGCGGTTCGACCTCCGCAAGGGGTCTGTGGCCGAAGCCGACTAAGATGGACTAAAGCTCACAAAGCATTCGGCCTGCTATGACGGTGCTGTCGAAGCACTCCGAAACGACCTGCCTTTATAGGCTATCTTGTCAACGGACAGTCCTGATGTTGCTCGGCTCGCTGGTGACCAGTAGCCAGTAGCCTGCAGAATGGTAGCCGATGCTGGTTTCCCCCTACCGTTCTATCAACGTGGCACCTCTTCCAGTAAGATCCAGTCTCTCTCGAATGGCTTTAAGAGGCACTTCGCGAGCCAAGCGAGTGGTGGTGATTGGTGCTGGCACTGCCGGCCTTACCGTTGCCTCGTGTCTGAAATCACCTGGTCGTAAGCAACCGCAGGCCCCACAGCAAGACATCGAGGTCACCGTGGTTGAGGCTCGAGGCCGACTGGGTGGACGAATTTGTACCGAGCACTTTGCCGATGGCTCGGCCGTGGATCTTGGTGCAGCATGGGTTCATGGAGCGTGCCGATCCAATCCGATAATGGCGATTGTAAAGGCAAGCGGAGCAAAACTCGTGGAGACTGATTGGGAAAACGACATTCATTTTGAAGCTGTTGGTACTGAGACTGAGCCGCACCAGAGCAAGCAGATGGACGAGGTTGAGCTGAAGCGCAGCTACAAGCACTTTGAAGCTCTTTGGCAGCTCTTCCGCATGAAACAAAGTGCTGATCGGAGGGAGGCGAAGAAAGGGCCAATTGTGGATCAAAGCCTCATGACTACTTTGCGCGGCTTAAAATCGAAGGCCTTCAGAGGCATTGATGAGCTGGACAAGCGATCCCAGTTGCTGCTGCTCAGCGCAATATCGGGCGAGACAGAGCATGACTACGCCGCGACACCAGACGAGCTGAGCTCAACTTGGTGGGATATCGATGACGAGTTTGACGGTGGACATGCCTTGTGGAAGGCCGGGTATCAGCAGCTGATTGAGCATCTGGCCGAAGGCATCACGGTCGTCCTGGATGCGCAAGTTGAGCGGATCGAGTGGTTTGCAGCGGATGCAGGTGATGGGCCAGCGTGCGCCGTGAGCTTGCGCGACGGCCGGAGGCTCGAAGCGGACTTCTGTGTCTGCACGCTACCTCTCGGCGTGCTGCAGCGGGATCCCGGGCTGCAACCACATGTTTGAAGGAAGGCTCTGATTGACTCGTGAACAGCGATCCAAGCCCGGGTGGCAGATTCACCACAGGAAGGTTAAAGTGGTTAAAGGCTATAGTCATATCGGAACTCAGGGGTGCACACTCGCGGTTTTCCAGTCCCCAGCATCATGTGAAGATCCGGTTCAATCACCCACAACTTGAAGAGCAAAGCAAACACTGCCAAGGACCAGGCAGCGCTTTTCAGGCCTCCCCTGCCAGAGGCAAAGCTTCAAGCCCTCGGACGGCTGGGTGTGGGAATCTTGGAGAAGGTGGCGTTGAGGTTCGAGCGTCACAGCTGCATTGAACATGTGTTCTTGCCTACCGGCCCTATCCTTGTTTCTTCGGTTGAGCTTGCGGTTGGGGGGTTTTAGTTTAGGGCCGTTCCTTCCTGAAGCTTCGGTTCAGGCGGTGTTTCTGGGAGAGCAAAGACGTGAAGCCTCATTGCATCTACCGGACGCCGACCTCGGAGTCTCGGACTTTGCCAGCTGCCTGCG